GAGTTCTACTGCCGGTTCGAGTTAACTGGGTTCGAGTCAGCTGAGTTCTACTGCCGGTTCGAGTTAACCGGGTTCGAGTCAGCGGAGTTCTACTGTATTTACAATGGTGCGACAAGAAATTTAACGCAGACAGGGATCAGCGACACTTCGATAATCTTACGAAGCCATATTGGACTGCCATTATCTATTTTCATCAATTCAGTATGTGTAAGCCAAGTCTTAACAAGATATTATTGAAAATGGCATCCGTGCAGCTTCTTAAATTACTCTGTTATAACGAAATGTAGAGTGAATAACGTCGTTTAGTGCATAAAACGGAATTTTTTTGGTGTAAGATTACCTTTCTCGATAACTAACTCGCTTATTCCTGACCGTAACTGAATCCATGAAAGTCAGATCCATCAAAGTCAGATCCATTAGCATTTCCTCCCATTAAAAGCAAACATCAGTATCGTTTACAAATAAAATATTAGCTGCGGGCACATATGGCCAACAATTTAATTCTGTACTGGCCCGGTAAACGCTAGGTTTCGCCAATTTTTGTGATGTTGAGAAACTGTAACCATCACTAAGAATGCTTTGCAGCCGGTGGTTCGCATGAACACTGATTGATTATGTAATCGAAGCCCAAACCGAAAAATTGCACAACATATTATTACTTGGGTACAAACATCTTACAAATCATATGATCCAAAAAGTTGTTGAAATAGTAGTTTTAGCCGTTGCGATTGAAGGCAGAACTCGTCTGAGATCTTTACTGGTATCAGGAAATCATTTGTAGAAACAAAATGATCAAAAAGTCCCTTACGTGTCCGCTACTAGTTAAATTTCAACGACTTATTTTTGCCTGTTGTAAGTTCCGATATGTAGAAACGTTGTTCGTTTGTTATGACTAGTAAGAATTCATATTTGACGTAAACAAAGCTGCATTTAATTCATATTATTCTAAGAGTTTCCGTGTACTATCTTAGAGGACATTGGCTGTCACTTTTGTGTACACAAAAATGATTTATAGGTCTGTTAATGTCTTCTTTCCAATCATTACGTCTATTGGATGAATTAAAATTAGAGCAAATATTGAGACGCCTGGAGATTTCGTTTCAGAACTATTTTCAACCTGTACCAAATAAACAACCTGGATTTGAGAACAAGAAGAAATTTTACTACAGTAAAATAGCTTCGTCTAGCATAATGAATGTCACTTTAACTCTACCACCTCGTTCAACGTTTGTACTCATTTTGGAATCAAGTGTAGCCATCATTTTCATGTTACTGGCCCTGATTGGTAATTTTACCGTATGCTTGGCGATTTTTCGTAAAAGGCTTTTGAGAACGGTGCCGAACTATCTCCTGTTAAACTTGGCCTCTGCAGACATTCTCAGTGCTGTTGTCAGTTTCCCTTTACTAGTCTCAGTTCTTATGAGTGGTAAGTGGATGTTTTCCGAGAGCGTTTGCCAATTTCAGGCATTTCAGTCTTATATCTCGTACTCCTGCAGTCTCTTGACTCTGACCGTTACAAGCATTACGAGATATTACGCGACTGTTCACCCATTCAAACATAGAGGGGTATTCAAAGTGAAAATAGTTTTGGTATTGATGTTTATCGTTTGGACCGCATCTTGTGCGTTTGCCGCCATGCCACTTCTCGGATTGGGACGATATCAGTTTGAGGTTTCCTACGCTCTCTGCATTCACGATCACAATGCCAGTTCATCGTACAACACGTTTTCGTTCACCTTTTTGATGGTGAACTCAACAGTTATTGTGACTTGTTATTCAAGAATATTCAAAGCTATGAAAACGAGAAATCGCAGAATCCATCGGTTGTTTGCCCAAGGTTCGACATCAAGGCAATTGGAAGTGATAAACGCGCAAGAAGCAAAATTGACAAACACAATCTTTTTCGTAATTTGTCTATTTTCCCTATGCTACATTCCAACAATCGTGCTGGGATTTTTAATGTTTGTGGCCATAAAAGTATCGCGCTTTGCCCGAATGCTGTCGACATTTTCAGTGGGATTCACCTCCGTGGTAAATCCAATTGTCTATTGGGTGCGCAGCAAAGCTTTTCGCAAAGCTGTAATCGGGATTTTTAGAAAAAATAGTGTGTCCGAGCGAAATTCACTTCGAATGGACGTGGGTGAGATCACCAGATGTTCCAACCCAGCAGAGCTTGTAAAGGTTTCAAGAGATGATGAAACCGTGAGGAAAAGAAGAACAACTACAATTACTTTACCAGAGGTCATTACACATGTATGATATTGTTATTCATGTAGAGGCAAACGAACATGGAAGCCTACATTTTAAAATTGATGGACCGGTCATCATAGAGCGAATGTATTGCTCTTAATGAGGCAAAGCAAAGTAAAAAGCACTACAAAACTGACAAAAAATATGTTACATAAGAAATGAAGTTACATGTGAGAAAGGATCGTCCCTTTCGAAGGTCAGATGAAACCGTTACCGACGGGGCATAAATTTTGAGAGGGATGCCACTTTTAGAACAAATTAATCTTGACGGAAGTCTGGTTACACCTGTCTAAATAACAGTTTGATGGGCAGAAAATATATTCAGAAATTGTAATGTAGAATTTCCTATATCAGCACGAAAGGGCTGTAAAATTCTCATTGTTGAATTTATTCAACTCTTCAATTGTTTTACAGTTTGAAAATGTTCCTGATTCCATTTCTGTCATGTTATTTCTCGGTGACATTTGTCCATACCGCGTCATTTTGGCAAGCAGTCGCTGCCATGAGAACATTACAAAGTTTTCCTCTGTCGCCAAGAAGGAGCAATGAATGATTGTGACCATGGTTTTTTTTTTTCTCAGAAAAAAAAATTTTTTTTCTGTTTCAATATTACCACATAATAAATGTAAAGAGTAAAAACGCCAACGGTCTGACTCAATTAGAAGACAATCATAAAAAGCGGCATCAACAGAAAATGAAAAAAAGAAGAAAAAAAACTCATTACTTTCAAATGACTCTTGCGAATTAAATGAAGTCCATATTCCTCGAGCTCAGTGCCGTTCCTAATCATCAAACTAAAAACTAAACATAAATGCTTGACTTTAAAACACATGTTGACATGAATGATGAGCGTTGATAATGAGTCTCTGTCCCTAGAGTCTACACTGAAAGGTTTAAGAACGTTTTTAGTAATAGGATAATTTTTAAATATGACATGTAATAGTTTCCCTTGTGAGTTTATGTTGTAACTTAGGATATGTGATTTTATCTTAAGAAATAAAGATTATGTTATGTTAATGAGACTTACACAAGCAGTGCGACAGATGGAAAAAAGAGTTTTTCGTTGCAATTTGATTAATGTGGTTTTAACATTTCCAGTTACGAATAACTTATCTTTTTTAATGAAAATGAAAGTAACTTCAATGCTTATAGCATGGAATTAATAATTTTTTCAGTCTGACAAGAACTTAATCAGTTCTTGTTAATTTGCATCCCTTTTTAGCATTCACTAAAAATTTTTAATGAGATTTCTCCTTACCATGTTTCACTCTCATCTAGATGCTTCAATGGGCTGATAAACGGAACTCACTTACCCTAATTGATGTCATATGGGTGTAATTTTCATTTAAATTCACCACAATATCTCTTAATTAACCTTTGAAAAGGTCTGGTGAATTCTCTAAGAGATGCAATATTCAGACTGATGTAAGTCACTGAGCTTTGATCGCACTTGAACTGTTTCCAGCGATATCCAAGCACTTTTCGCCAATGAGAGAAGGCTTAGAAACAAAATTAAAGAAAAAGAGGAGTTTGAAGATAGATGTTTGACTTGACAAACGCAAAACTAAATTGTGCAAGGTGTTTCACTGCCGGAATTCTCTGTTTGAGGACGATTTGCATGTGAATTATTCACCAGTCAAGTCTCAGTCAGTTTTAACAATAATCAACCGTGCATGATTGCACGGGGTGAATATTTTCGCTTAACACGTGATGATCCACGTCCAGTTTTTAGACCGAAGTTTTCAAATCTTGATACAAAACTAAATTTTGGAAAAGTTGTCGTGGTGGTGACAAGTTTACCCCAATAAAACGTCAAAACAGCCATACTATCAGCATAAATAATTTGAAAATCTTTCAGGCCCCGTCTTTGTTTTGCTTGTTAGTTTTGCCTCCTCTTGCTACACAATTTTTTGCGTTTTCAAATATTTGAAAAAAGACTGCTTACAAATTAAAGTAAAAACGCTAATTTGCGAACTTCTTGTTTGCTCACGTAGAAAACTGAGCGTTATAAACGTTCCAGGAGCACACGTCTGCACTGAAGCTTCAAACGAAAAATGTCCATCTTAGAGGCTGTATTTTCTTCACAAGTGTGTTTGATCCGGGAGTCACGGAACCGGCCAAATCAAGAGTAATTCTTATCTAACATTTCAGTCGGCAAATTAAAACTCAAAATTTGAGATTCTAAACACGGATTCCCATAAGGTACCTGTTGACCTTCTACCAAAGTCCGTGAGAGTAGCTTCTATTCCTATTTCTTCTACAGTGGCTTTAGCTGTTACAAGTTCGTTAACTCTTAACGCACACAGAAGATAAAAAATTATAAAACAACGAATCTTTTAACTTATAGTTCCAGTTGAAATTCCCTACCTCACCCAGGCAGGGTTTAAATTCCCTATCTCCAGAAAGGACAATAGTCAAATGCCCATGGATTGTTGGGATCAGGGCTCTTTGCTTACAAAATGCCCTGTACTAGATGTGTTAAAAATTAAGAGTTGATGTTCATGACGTAACTACCGGTATGTCAAATCAGAGTCATTTTAGCCCAAGCTGCTGGGCGAGGGTCAAAATGACTGTGAGGAGTTCGTTAAGAGTGGCATTTACAGGTTAAATGCGAAGTTGTAATTCATGTATAAATTTCAAATGCGAAATATCTGTTACAATCGATGTCTTCGCTAAACTTGATGCGGGTGTTGCTTAAACCAGAAATTTTAATGGCGAAGTTGCTCCATCTAGAGATCATTAATAATGGTTATTGAACTGTGTGGAGTGCAACTTGGTCTGAAAATCATAGCTGTGATTTCAGACCAAAATTGTCCACCACGAAGTTCAATCACCACTTTACTACATCTACTTTGAAATAGCAAAATTCACTCGCTCAATACAAGTTTTCTTTAGTTAGTCTGTTCAAATATTTTATTGATCCAGCATATAGAGCTGGTTTGTAAAAATTTGCAAAAGTTGTTTCTCATTTTCCTGAGCCTTGAAAGCCTTGAAAATAGATTGGTTGTTAAGTTTTAGTAAAGCTGTCTCATTGGCTGGGAAAAAGATGCGATTTAGAGAATAAAATGGTGCGATTCGTGAATAAATCGCACCGGTGAGAGCCAAGCAGATTGCAAGGATCACAAATGATTTCAAAATGGATGTAATAAAATATGCAAACCGCGAAATGTCCAACCATTGGCAAACTCGTTGTGATATTTTCGATGCCACAAGTACCCATAGCAACGGTGACATTTCAGAAAGTGTTTGCCCATGTATTAAAAATAATTATCCCTACATTGACAGAAAATAGTTGTTGAAGGTTGAAAAAATCCCTTGATGGGGCCGCCGTTGAGTTATATGTATTTGAAGCAAAATCTAATTGTGTTTTTCAAAATATTTGGCGTCTCTAAGATCACAAGGAAACTCGCAAGCCGGACGATCAAAACGAGTCCAGCATTGCTTGTTCATTCAGTTATGTAACTATTAACCGATCAGAATATGAGCGGTCTGAAGTATTAAGCAACCTGAACCAAGACCTTAAGATCATAATACACTTGGGTAATGATTAGCTTACAGATTTCTCGCTGAAATTCCTTGTATTTAAAAATGCAACAAAAGTTATCAATTTACTTCTTACTTTTACGAAAAAGGAGTTACCGCTACAACTGAATGAACCTATTGGCGATTATCAGTGTCATGTGGCTGTTGGATGCAATTCTTACCTTAAGCTATAATTTCAATTTGAGAAAACTGGATAATACAAAAAGCCAACAAGGCAAGATACTATCATAGTATTTTTTTTCTACAATTGAAAATGATTGAGAAGAATTCCACCTAGTGTAGTTCAAAATAGCCATCTAACTTACCTATAACTGAACATTTAAGATCGGGAAACAACAAAAACTGATGACATTTTATGATTCGAAAACGCACAGCGAGCACGAGAAAACACTTATGATATCTTAAAATTAGCAGAGAAGCTATGTCCCATGTTTTGAACCAAAATATTGACGATCAAGGCCTCGTCCGCCCCTTTCTTTTTGTAAGACGTACATTCCATCTTGATCATCTCTAATACTTTTTCTCATGTTTTGCCTTGCTTTTACCTTTCATACATTTGTCTCTGATTGAGGCCATAACTCGTACGATTCCAAAAACTTAAGAGTAAATGGCGGTGTGAAACACAGTTGAAAAAAATTACGTCAGATAGCTCCTTTAGGCGACAAAAGTACGCTTCGAAAATGCACAATTTTTGTAAATTTCATAACCTAAAGCTTCCGTATAACATAGCTTAAAACATTACCACAGATTACTAGAGTGACATTCAACTACACGTCATGCCATCGTGTTAGGCAACACCCCCTAAGCGCGATCGTTGCGACAAAGATGAAATCCTTATGTCGACTACAAACGTTCGTTTTAACTTTCCAACAAAGTTCACTGCATCTTGAGCAGGTAATAAGCTAAAGAAGTTGGATTAACCCTGTTAACTCCGCGCTCTAAGTCTACAGGTAATATCGTTCCTTTTTGAAATTTACTACATTCACTACACCTGACCTCAAGTACCAGTTTATTCTTGAGACATCCCTGGGTAGGTGTTGCAATTGACCCTGGTTGCACTGTCGCTTTAGAGTTTACTCTCAGGTGCAAATGCGTATTTGTCATAGTGCGGATGCAAATTGATCATGTTTGGGACTTTAACCCCCGGTTCAACGAAACGAATGTTTTCCATGGGAATGTCTTCACCATCATCTGCTTCTTCTTTACCTTTACGACACTGAAACAAATAAGTATAATTTGGCTATGTCACACGTTCCGTCACGTAATACTCAATCAACTAAAGGGACCGCAAGGGAGGGAGGGAGGGAGGGGGAAGGGGGAGAGGGACCGCACGGGAGAGGGGAGGGGAGAAGGGGGAGGGGGAAAGGGAGGTGGAGGATTTGGGGGATCACATGGCTTTTAGGTTGAACGGAGAGGGGATCAGTCGTCGCCCATAGTCTAAAGGGGAGACTATAGAAGATCAACTGCCAATTAATTGTCATTCAGAAGGGGGATCATACCAACATTAGAGAGCCTTATGGCGGGATCAGGTAATTTCATCGTGACACAACCAAAATATCCTTCAACTCCGCACCCCCCCCCCCAAAAAAAAATAAATATATAAATGAAAAGGAATAGACCTTTAACAGAACAAGGAAGGAAAATAAATCAAAATTCACTAATCCCAACTAACAGACAAGATCTTTCAAAAGCGTAAATCGTTATAAAACGGCATGTTTGCTCCAGTTACATTGGAATATGGAACCTAAATCTTTGTTAATAAACAGGGCCCACGTACTTGTAGATTCCTGATTCTTCTTCGATTATTCTAATCCATACCAAACAACCTTCTCCAGCCAGAAGTTTGAGGCGTATTCTGAGGCATTGGTTTAAGTACTCTGTCACCCTGTGACAACACCACTCCCACACGTACACGAGTGTTGTTAGGGTCATCCCATTGTTCCTTCGAATCGCGTCTCAAGCGATGTTTTATAGCTCGCTATAAAGGAAATGAATTTCAAAGAGCTAGGAATCAAACGACTCGCAAAATGACCAAATGATTTGTCCTGCCAAATGTTGCTTGAAATACAATTCTTTGGGTTGACTTCATCTTCGAGAGTACTGAATTGCATTCTAGCACTTTAATTTCGGAAAATTCCCTTAAAATTGTCCCAAGAGATCTTCTAGTAAAGAAAGATATCTTTGTAAAAATTGTTGCAATGATAGACTTGAAAAGCATTATTTTGCTTGCGAGGTGTGTTTTGATTTCTTTATTATGAAATTCATTTCCCTTTCCACGCAGGTGCCGTTGAATTAGTATTTGCTTGTATGATCATTACTCAGTTTTCAAACAACATCAGCAGGTAAATCAAACAAAAATCTTCCACATCGTAAAATCCCACTTATAAAACCCTGAACTCACACAACTTCGTATGGGATTTTAAGAGGGCTTATATCCGAGAGGGCTTCTTACCGGAATATAAAAATGCTTCGAAACGAGCAAGGGCATTCCTGACCAAATAAGTTTTTTTGTATTTACTGGTTTTTATTAAAGCTTCAAAAGGTCAAAATACATGAGTTCCTCAAGACAACTACATTTAAAAGAGGACTTGTGTTCAGGGGCTTATCGTGGGATGTCAGTATTTTTTGTTTACAAGTAGATGAGCCTATAAACTGGAGGCTTTTAAGGGGGTTGGGGCTTTTTAGACAACAACAGTTAAAAGAGAAACAACAACAGTTAAAAGAGGGCTTGTGTTCGGGACTTATCGTGGGATGTCAGATTTTTTTTTGTTTACGAGTAGATGGGCCAATAAGGTGGGGGCTTTTAAGGGGGGTGGGGGCTTTTAAGTGGCAGTTTAAATTTAAAATCACCTAAACAAACAAAATAATGTCCTAATCTCTAACGTTAACTAAAGGAGTTAGTCACAACTTTAAATTTGTTGGTTTGTTTCGTTTTGATCATGGTTGCTTTTTGTTTTTACTTTTTTTACCAAGAAGGAAAAAAGAGATCAAAAGAAAACTAGCACGGGACGAAGCTCGCCAAATATTTAGAAGTTTTTTTTATTTATCACGAGCGTGGTACAATGAAGATGATTCAACGAATCATCCTTGGTTTATTTAGACTGGATTTTTTTAAATTTTTGTTTTTTTAACGTTTTTTTATTTATCACGAGCGTGGTACAATGAAGATGATTCAAGGTATCTTCCTTGGTTTATTTAGATTGGATTTTTAAAAATTTTTGTTAAACCTAAGGCCCACTGAATGTATGAAGCACGCGCACAACAACAACATCTTTTCAACTACCTTTATAATCGTGTTTGAGATTCCCTACAACACACACGCGCCAAAAGAAAAAAAACAAACAAAAGAGAAAGAAATGTTATCTTACCTGCCCGTTTGTCAACAGAACCACCAGCTTTCTGCAGCGGATCTCAATGATGACAAGCACAATAGAGATCACAACACCACCCAGCAGAATAATAAAAACACCGGCCAAGTTGTTCACGTCAAGGCTCTGTGTGTTGCCAGTTTTGGACTTTGAAGGCTTTGGACATTGACTCCGATCGTCCCACCACCTTCGACGAGTCTTTTCAATAAAGTTCCTCTCTCGCAGCTGCAAATGAAGAATAGGACTGTATGATTTAAACATCACAGCGCGTTTAATGAGGGTTTTCCTCAGAGAGTTTGGCCAGAGTAAAATTCAACGTTAAATATTTTCCGTCAAGTTTTTTAATTTTTTTTTTTTTTTGGCCGTCAAACTAAAGAAGGAAGAACGCTTGAAAGTGCGTGTAGCATGATGAAGCAGACAGGGAAATTCCTGATGTAGAATATGTCATTACCTTTAATAAAATAAAGCCTAAACAGCAATATTCTTAAAAGAATCTCTCTCGCTTATTTAATAATACCCACGTTCAAAATTCCAACTGTAATTCTATTGGTGTACGGTGAGTTACGCTGAAGTCCAATCCCATAGCTCTTGGTTTGAATCAGATTTTTCAACAGTCTTGTATTGCAAGGTTTCTGTTGGTTGTAGTACTCCAGGTACGGGTATTCTGTTATGTACGCGTACTGTTCGTTCCTCGCTCGTTCCACACCTGCTCTGGTGCCATCAACAAAGGTTTTGTACTCTCTCATGTGAGAGAACATTTTTCTGTACAGCGAATCCTCTGAATTCTCAAAGAATGTCATAACTGAACCTCCTTTCATAACACCATATTTTATTTTGTCTTGGTTCGCTAGAGCCTCCAACGAATTAATTGTATTAGCAGTGCGTTTGACTAGGAGAGAAAATCATTCGCATGAACTTTAATTATTGTTTTCACACTTTACACACTAGCATTAGTGTGCATATTCTCCATACTGTTCTCTATACATTTCCTAAGGTCCTGATAAAGAGAATTAGTTTAACAATCAAGAACTTCTTTAGTTGGTGATCATTTCGTCTGTGCTCGTAGCCTTAATGCGTGATTCAAGGGTGGTATTGTAAGGAGAAATGAGATAATGGTCACTCTTAGGGGTCAAGGGGCGATTCAAAAATGAGTTCTTATAGACTGAACAATTACATGTATATGTGGTCCATCGGGAGTGGAACTGACTTGACATAGCTTTGAACAGGGATACTCCGCACCCAAATCCTAACAACTGAGAGGGTCTCCTTTTCATATGCCTTGGAAAGAAGCACTGAGTCTCTTTAAATGACAGAGAGATTTAGGCCCTTTTAAAACAGGTAAAAAATGGCAGAAAAAAACGCCACTTTGGCATATTTTTCCAAGCGGAATTTACGTTGGCCCAGAAGGCTCAACGCAAACAAAAAGTATACTGCAGCAAATAAAAAATATACTGCAGCAAATAAAAAATTAAAACGCAAAGAAAAAAAGTACCGCAGCAAATAAAAAATGCAA